TTTTTTTTTTTGAAAAAAGATGTACCGTTACTACCGTAGGGTTCTTTTTTTTTTTTTTGATGGACCGATGGACTAGATATTGAAGTCAAAACAAAAAGACAAAAAGCGCTATTGGTCTGACCTTCACCAGGTGTGACACGCCTACCTGAGCTCTGGGGAGGGTTCCCACTAGGTTCTTGGCGGAGATGCAGAAAAGCAGATCAGTCACGGATTTATGCATCTGTCCTCATACACGTCCAGATTCGGGAATTTCAAGCCAATCCTCTGTGCTACTGGGACCTCGGCCCTGGCCGAAGATTCTCCCTGACGGTCAGCTCAGAGCATAATAGTACTTTCCTAGTAAATGTACCTCACCGCATTCACGGCCATTTCTGAATGAATCTGGCCCACGATCACGTCCAGAGCTCAGTCGAAAAGGTCCTACCGTGACCGATGGTGTGTCTCTGCCCTCAGGCAGAACCTATTTATTTACTGATACTGATTTACTGATTTGGAAAACACTTTTTTTTTCTTTTCTTTTTTTTTTTGTGGAAAGAAGCCATTTTTTACGGAATGAATGAATCTGGGCCGCCTGACTTGCCCCGCCCCGGCCTCGCTCCACTCTTCCCCAACTGTGCAAAATCAGAAGGAATTTTCCGCTACAAAATGCGAAGATACAGCCTCATACAGGGCCACATGTGCATGTGAGAGTCGTGGAGCGAGGCCCATTCTAACGTAGGGGAGGTCGCTTACTTATGTATGCAGGCGCAGTTCACCATCGTCACAGTAGCTTGCTTTGGGTGCTGAAGGAGGGCGGGAGGGCCATAGGGTCCGCTCACCAGACAGTCGTGCACGGCGAGGAACAGAACAGGAAAGGGAGCATGGAAGGTCGCGACAATAGCGAGGGAGGGAGGGAGTGAGCGAGAGAAGGGAGGGAGGGAGGGAGGGAGGGAGGGAGGGAGCGAGAGCCAGCGTTGGGCGTTCACGCTGCTTAAAGTTAGCAGTAGGTGACACTCACGATCCCTCCTTGGGTGTGAAACTAGCATTTTAAGGTCCGAGAGGAGGGAGGCAGCGAGAGGAGGGAGGGAGGCAGAGAGTGACAGAGAAAGGAGGGAGGGAGGGAGGGAGGGAGGGAGGGAGGGAGGGAAGGGGAGAGGGAGAGAGATAGTAAATGCTACTTTTTTGTCGTAGAGCCGTCAAGTGTATCCTGCAAAGCGTGAAAGGAGGGAGGGAGAGAGGGAGGGAGGGAGGGAGGGAGGGAGGGAGGGAGGTAAGGGGAGAGGGAGGGAGAGGGAGGGAGAGGGAGAGGGAGAGGGGCACGGGTATCGTGCAAAGCGTGGAAGAGGAAAGGAAGACCGTCATGACGGCTGACTTCTCGGATTCGCAGTGGAAGTGCGTGGACTCCAACAGCATGCCTGATACCTCAGTAGGCTTGAAATGGACAACCCGTTTAGACGCGGAGTGGGTGTTTATTCCAGGCGTGGACTGTCCCGGGAACGATATAGAGCGCAACCCCTCCCTTGTTGGGAAAGACAAGTTCCCCAATCAACGACTGCATGCGGAGGCTATGGTGGATCCTGTGTGTGTGGCTTTCAACACCGACGGGTGGTTCAAGTCCAAGCTGCTCCCCAAGAGCCAGTGGGTGAAAATCACTGCGCCCAGTAGTGGGTACTTCACCCACGGCCTCTGGGTACGGAGAAGGGCGTTGGCAGATCTCGAGTGGGTGCTGATGCCTGGCATGGATTCACCGGACTTCGACATCGTCCCACAAATGAGCAAACGTGGAGATGCACTGAGGGAACTAGCGGAGAACACAGGGGAAATGTGTGTCGCCTACAACGATGCAGGATATCTGAAATACCATGTGCGGCCAAGGTGGCAGTGGGCCAGAACTGCGGAGCTTAACCTGTGGGTGAGAAGGAGTGTTCTCGACAAGCTCCACCCGTAACTGTATTTATGTGTTCGTGTGCGTTGTTGTCTTCACTACGTGTGTGTGTGTGTGTGTGTGTGTGTGTGTGTGTGTGTGTGTGTGTGTGTGTGTGAGAGAGAGAGAGAGAGAGAGAGAGAGAGGGGGGGGGTC